TCTTGAGTGTAACAGGGGGCGGTGCCCCAACCCCCCAATCAGCCCTAACCTGAGCATGACTGAGGGTGGCATGCAACCTCTTGATCCGCCCTGCTCTGTGCATGACAGGGGGCGGCGCTCCAACTCCCCAATCAGCCCTGCTCTGAGCCCGACCAGGGGCTGCACCTAGGGATTGGACCTGCCTTCTGCCACCCGGGAGCGGGCCTAAGCCAGCAGGTCATTATCTCCTGAAGGGTCCCAGACTGTGAGAGGGCACAGGCCGGGCTGAGGGACCCCCTCCCCCCTGAGAGCACAAATTTTTGTGCACCGGGCCTCTAGTCTATAATAATAGAAGAGGATTATACTAATTAGACTAGATAGCCGAATGACCTTCTGGACATCCTTCTGGATGAAGCTGGGCTGAGGGACCCCTCCCCCGTGTACGAATTTCTTGCACTGGGCCTCTAGTCTATATACACAAAAGCCTAATATGCAAATTGTCCCCTCGGGAATTTGACCAGGAGATCAGAAGTTCAATCACTCACTATAATGTGCACTGACCACCAGGGGCGGTGTGGAACGAAGGAAGACCCCAGCCAGCAGCCGGTAGCTGGGGAAGGGAGGCTCTGATCACTGGCCAGGCCTAGGGACCCTACCCATGCATGAATTTCGTGCACCGGGCCTCTATTACTATTATAAGCAAAGCTACAAACTGGTAGAGCTTTATATATGAGCCAATTTTCTAGACATGCAAATATTGGGTTAAAGAACATGTGCATTTTGAATCTGATAAGTACTGCCAAAATGCCCTCCAAATAGGATGCATCAAACTACTCGCCCATCAGAGGGTTCTGTTTTTCCCTATACTTCAACAACACAGCACATTATCATATTTTTTCATCTTTGCTAATAAACAGATATTTAATTGCTGTCTTAATTTTCATTTCCTTAATTGTGCTGGAAAGTTGAACATCTTAAGTTTATGTCATTTGTATTTCAATTTTTATAATTACTTGCTCATATCTATCACCCATTTTCCTACTGAGTTGCTATGTTTCTTATTGTAGAGAACATTTCCCAGTTTTTAACTTGTCTCTGACTTTGTTTTATAGTATAATTAATCATGCAGATATTTAAAAGTTTTAAGTAGTCAAATATATTAAGCCTTTCTTTTATCACTTTGGGGATGTGTGTTTTAGTTGGAAGGCCTTCTGCCTTCTAAGGTTATTTTTAAAAGTCTTATTAAAAAACAGTCTCGTTTTCTCATATGTTTATGGTTTATTTTTTGCATTTAAATCTTAGATCCATCTGAAATTTACTAAGCGTTGAGGCAGAGATTTAAGATTCAACTTTATTTTTTTTCCCAGAGAGATAAGCAATTGTCACAAAACCATATACTAAACAAATCATTTTTTCTGTTATGATCAATTTAAATGTAATTTTGCCAGTTGCAAAGCATTTCAAAATGGAGCATATATCTAGAAAATCTATCTTAACTAGATGCATAGTATTTAACCATATAAAACATATTAGTAAATGTTATCTATTGTTAATATTAATTAAAATTACACTGAATTGAAAAATATTGGTAATACTAATGAAAATTACACTGAATTGAAAAATAAGAATTATTGAATACATCCATGATTAAAAGCAGGTATAACTTACTATATACGTTCACCTCTAGGTCTTTAAATTGTTCACTGGGTATGCAAAATCACATTTCACACTATAGAGCAATGCCATCTATAATTTCTTTAGGTTTGAATTGCTTCTGGATCATAAAAGGAGAAATGTCTCATAGTTCATTATTCTAAATTCCATATTTGTCTATGATATAAATAAGAGAAAAGTAGTAAAATAATTTTTCTTGAATTTTCATTGATACGATGTACATAAAATAAATAATTGATACTATGCAGTGGTAGAACACCACTTGGAAGGTGGTTAAGTCTAGTTCTGATTGAGGAAAGGGCTTGTCAGAAAGCCACTATTCTCGAGATTTACATAAGCTAAGATACAGGAAGCCATAGGTGCATGGACAATATTCCACAGGCTGGATCAGTAACTCAAAAGCTCTAAGTGAAACAGGGCCACAAAAACACAGACTGCCAAATGCTGTTTCAGTGCTGGACAAATGCACATTAACAGTCTTTATCCCCTTCCCACTGAGTGCCCGATGAAGCTTCAAAGTGGTGATGTATTGAACTTACTAGTCAACAATACATATTCCAGTTGTAGCATTTTCATTTTAACAGCTGTTAATAAATAATGCTGTTTAAAAGAAATACTGTATAGACATAAAATGAAGCCTAATTTCAAGGGGATAATATTACTAAATTCTTTATAATTGAACACATGACGACTGAAAATTCAACTTATATGGTTTTTTCATAAATGATTCAATCTCTCTGAACCCTATTTTATTTCTTCTCTTTCCTGCTTTGTTTACATTTCTTTATGAGCTTTATTTCTTTTTCATACCACTTTCTCCACCAAAAAAGAGAGTCAACTCTTTTTTATTCCTGGAATTTTATGTCTGGAAAGTATATGAAGGGATGGACATAAAACCAGAGAGAAGTAAAACCAGGAGTAAGGAGACCTATTAGGAAACCAGTGCTGTAAACTAGGTAAGAGACAATGGTAGCTTGGGCCATAGTGGTAGCAATGGTAGTGGTGAGAAGTGGTCAAATTCTTTTTTTACTTTTTAGTATATTTTTATTGATGTCAGAGAAGAAGGGAGAGGGAGCAAGAGATAGAAACATCAATGACGAGAGAGAGTCATTGATTGGCTGCCTCCTGCACACTCCTTGATACTGGGGATCAAGCCTCCTTACTCCTGCCTTGACCTCCAGCTTCAGTCTATTCTAAGAAAAGCAGAATATGACTCTGGTTCTCGTTGGCTCAAAACTTCCAGTGGTTTCCTAGCTCACACTCCCACCACCATGCATAAATGCGCTGGTCTCATTTCCTATTATTCTTCCCATGAAGTCTCTCACTCGATTCCAGCCATATCTCCCTGCCAAGCCATGTCGTTCCCTTCCCGCCCATTCCCCTTATTCTCTCTGCTCAGAATTCTTGTCCCCTAGATAATGCATCATTTCGTCCTAGGTTTTTATCCAAAAAAGTGAACTTCCCAATGAGGTTTTTTTCGTTATTTATGAAATGTTACCATCCTTCCCCTGACATTTCAAATCTTTCTTTCTTATTTTACTTTTTTCTCCACAGCACATACTTACTTAGTTACCTAGTTTACTTACTTACCTAGTTTATTGCCAGCCTCCCCAACTGGAATGTAAACTCCATGAGGCAGGGATTTGTCTACTGTCTTCCATGCTGTATCCCCCACGCCCAGAACACATAATAGGAGCTCAGTTAACTTTGTTCAATAAATGAACTAATAAGTAAATAAACAAACAAAAGAATGACTCCAGCTTGGGCTCTCGCTGCATCTTTCTTGGTCTCCTGCCGGCAGGCTCTGTAATTAATCCTACACACCTCAAATCAGTAGTTGACCTCACATGGGTCTGACTCTATTGCTGCTCTGGTTAAGAACCTAAGTGGCTTGCAACTGTTCTTTGAGGAAAATACAGCTCTATAGGTTGGCATCAAGATCCTGCATAAACTGGATACTCTTTTTTGAACTCATCTCTTTACATTCCATTCTTATACTTTATTTTCTAGACCAGTGTCTCCCCAAATCGAGTACTTTATGGGTCCTTTTTAAAGGGAAAAAAATTCTTAAAGGCTTACAAGGTCACATCTAAGGCCCCCACTTAAGAAACACTAATTTAAGAAATTGAAGTTCAGATCAATAAAAATCTTTTTAAAATATGGATTGTTACTGATAAAATAATTCTTAATACAGTATTATAACCAAAAGGAAAACAAACATTTTAAATCTTCGTATACTTTACACCCTCTGAGAATGAACCCATGGACCCCAGTGACAGAAATGAAACTACCTACCCAGCCCAGAAGAGGCCTACACTTACCTGCCTCCATGCCTTTGTTCCTAATGTTCTGCTATCCCAGAATATCCTTCCCCTGACAATAGTTATCAGAATTCTACTCATCCTTCAATACCTAGTTTAGTTATCAGCTCCTTCACAAACTTCTTCTTCATACCCTCAGACAAAACTTCTCAGTCTCTCAGAGCAATTACTACATCATTCTTCCTTATGTTACACTATTATTTTCCTGTGGTTATTACAGCACCTGGATAGCATGAAGATGAACTTGTTCTCTTAACATAACTAGTATAATGTCTTCCATATAACAACTAATAGATGTATACTGAATTAATCATTATATAGGGGGGAAATAAATGCTACTATAAATATGACCCTCTATTTATCATCTTAAAAATAGAACTGTTCACTAAAAGTTTATAAGCAAAAATGCATAACATACTCATAACAAAAGAAAAACTGGGAAAAAAATTTTAAGTTATTTATAGGAGTTACCTTCGTTTAAGCACTAAGTCTGATATAGGTATGCATCTTAGACCAGTTCCCAAAACCATGAGGAAGGATGTCAGAAGCACAGTTATCCGAAGACCTAAAAGGAAACAAAAACATCCGGATTATTTTCTATTTTCTCTTCAAGTAAGTCCAGTGTTGAGAACAAAGATTTTTATACTCAATCATAATAATGTTATAACCTAATATTATAGCTTTCCCCCATAATACCCAACATGCAAAAGACCTCTACATGCTGAAAATGAAATTTTTATAACTTTAATAGGAAATTTAATGATCACATCAAGGATAAAAGAAGTTCCATTAGCTCTGGTTTTTTCAAAATAAATGGCTATAATGTTTTGTTCATATAGAGCACTAAAAATATAGAAAAAAATTTTAAAGGACTAGGTATTTTAGTTTTATATCTCCAATATAAAATTTCTAATTTTCAAATGCAAACTGCAAAAACTCTAAACTTTCACTAAAATATGTATATTTTTAAAGAGTGGTAGTTTTAACTTTAAAAAAATTTTTTTTATTGATTTCAGAGAGGAAGGGAGAGGGAGAAAGAGATAGAAACATCAAGGATGAGAGAGAATCATTAATAGGCTGCCTCCTGCACGCTCCCAACTGGGGACTGAGCCTGCAACCTGGGCACGTGCCCATGACCGGAATCAAACCCGGGACCCTTCGGTCCACAGGCCAACACTCTATCCACTGAGCCAAACTGGCCAGGGCGCTAAAATATTTTTTAATGTGATACATTATTGCTTTAAATTTTCTCCAAAAATGGAGAAAATGGCTAATTACATATTTTATAGTATAATCAGGATAAGCTAATGCTTGTTATAGGGTCATGCGGGTGATCTTTAGAATCCTTTGATTAGTAGTAACACAATAATGGTCTTTCTTCTTATTTTTCTTGATTTATCAAATGGCTTTCAACTTACAGAAAGATGTTGTTTTAAAAAGAAAACATAGCTTAGGACTTTAGAAGACAATTTAGGTCAGATAGCTTTCCCTTTTGTATCTCAATATGATCAATTATTTCTAAAATGGTTGCCTTTGGTTGGTCACATGGATAATAGGGTAGGAGAGAATAAAAACAGAAGGTACCAAAAAATGGACACAATAATCTAAGTAATAAAGTGGGACTATATCATCTTACTATTGGAAAGCTGCTGTTGCTTCTAAGCGAATGCCGCCTTCTTGTTTGCAGCAGCCACATCACACAGTGGCTCATAGTGAGCATGTGGCAGAGGTGGCAAAAGTTCTTCCAATTTCTCCCAAACTCAACACCTCTCTGAAACCATTTCACAATGAGTAGACAAATTGTTTAATGCAAATTTTTCTCTCTTTTCAGATCTTTCTCATTTTTTGGCGAAGGGGAGATGGTTAAATGTTTGGTTTCCAAAAGGCTTCTCTGCTTGAAGAAAACTGAAAATCAACAAAACTATAATTATTCAGATTAAACATAGTGAAGAAAATAAACTTGATATCCAGATCAGGCACACGTAGACACTACATTGAGGACAATTTGTGATATGAACGTTATAATATTCTTATATGAGCTGAACATGATTAATGCACTTTGGCAGAAGGAATAGCACAGAAAATTGTGCTTCTCAGTAACAAGCAATGCATACACATTGCTCATTTACTGCTTCTACTAACAGAACACATATTTTAAAACCACATTATGGTCCTGGCTGGTGTGGCTCAGTTGGTTAAGTGTCGTCCTATGCACCAAAAGGATGCTGGTGGGATTCCTAGTTAGGGCACATGCCAGGTTTGTGGGCCCAGTGGTTTGTGGGCCCAGTCCCCAGTAGGGGATGTGCAGGAGTCAGCTGATCAATGTTTGTTTCTCTCTCTCTCTCTTTCTCTCTCTCCTTCTCTCTCTCTCTCTCTCTCAAAAACATTACATTAGAGCTACAGGAAATAGAATGTAATTAATAGAAAGTACATTTATGATCATACATATCCTAAACTTTCAAAATGGGTGCCCTATGAGATACTGAATAAGATTTTTCAGATTTGGGACTATAAGGCTTACATTCTACATGATATTTATTTTTCCCTTAAATATTTGATTTGTAAGTGAGCAGTAAAGCATTGGTTATGGCACTATGGCCCAAATAACCAGATTCTCTATTACTACTGTTCAAGGCTAGCACACGATTCTACTCAAGTATGCTTTTTATCAAACCAATGATAATATAACAGCTAATACAAACATTTAAGAATAAAGAGTTGTCAAAATCTAATTATGAAAGCAACCTCGCAAGTACAGCTTGTGACTTTCTTGCTTATTTTTAATTGTTGCTAAGTATTACTTAATCCACCCCAGCTGATGCTCAATTTTGAAAAGAATGCTTTCTTTACCTCATTCAAATCTTGACGAGGCAGGATTCTATAACTGCATGTAATAAAAAAGATATCAAGAGGACCTCAGGAAAATAGGCTGAGGAGACATCTAACATCTTTAAATAACTAGATCCCAAATGATTACAGTAGTACTAGGACATGAGTGCAAAAACCATTTGATGAAAGGTATGAGAACAATTTTGGAAAACATGACTGAAAATAAAAATAAGTTCCATTCTAATGTGGAATCCAGACACGGTAGGAAGCTTCCTTCCAGTAGAAGAGATAACTCTTTTGCTGGGCATCTATTTAGTACAGGAATGGAGTCTCTACATCAGGTGCCTGGGAAAGAAAGCAGTTATGGCCTCAACGTTTATCTGGAAAGATTACTCTCCAGCCTCCACGCTTCTATCAGCTGGAGTGAAGGCAAGCCTTGTTTTGCTCCTCGCAAGACCTCTAGCCTCCCTGTCCCCAACAGTCACAGCCAGGCCAGCACGCTCTGTCTTAGAGCCCATCAGGACTAATTACATTGTGCCTGTTATTCCTGTCTGCATTAGTCAACAGAGATCCCATGATGGGATCCAAGCCATATCCCAGTATGGCTTCATATACTCCCTAATCTAACCTCACCTGCCACCTCCCCAACTTCTTCCTGAAACCTTTCCACTGTGCCTGCCTTCTGAGGTACTCAGAATCAGTGGGTCAATGGAATCCCTATATCCTCAAGCTCTTCTCTAAATATTCTCTTCACCTTCTTACTCCCACTGAAACCTCTCTCCTGAGAAAACTGTTTCCCCAGCCACTTGTAGCTCACTGTTACTCTCATCCCTTAAGCTTCCTAATCTCTTTTCTCTCAATGCTTTTAAGGTTTCCCCTGGTTTTAGGCAAACTGATTATGATGTGTGTTGGTAAAGTTTTCTTCATGTTTCTTCTGCTGGGATTTTTTAAATTTCTTAGATTTGTGGATATCAAATTTGGTAATATTTCTACCATTATTTCTTTATTCCATCCCGCAACCCCCCCTGCGTGCACGCATGCACATACACATACACACACATACACCTCATTTCACTCTATACCCTTTCCCATTACTTCTCACTTCTTCTTCTGGGATTCTAATTACATGCAAATTATTAGGCTACTTAAAACTGTCCTGCAGCTCACTGATGTTTGTTGGGGTTTTTGTTAATTTTTATCCTTTTATTCTCTGTGTTCCAGTTTGGATAGCACTTATTGCTGTCTTCAAGTTCACTTACCATTTCTTCTGAAACATCTAATCTGCTCTTAAATCCTGAAGAGTATATTTTTTGGTTTTAGACATAGATCACATTTTCATTTCTAGAAGTTTAATGTTGGTCTTTTGTTTCTGTGTCTCTCCTTGCTTTCTTCTATCTTCTTGAACATATGTAGTATATTTAAACTAGTTGTTCTGATGTCCCTGTCTACAAATTCTATTATCTGTGACATTTCTGGGTCTGTTTCTATTAACTGAATTTTCTCATCTTTATGAGTTGAATTTTCCTGCTTCTTTGCATGTTTGGTAATTTCTGATTTGGATGTCGGGTATTCTGATTTTTACCTTCTTTGCGATGGATTTTTTTTTATTCCTTTAAATATATTTGAACCATGTTCTGAGATACAGTTAAGTTAGCTTTGATCTTTTAAGCTTTACTAGTTGGAAACAGAACATCCTTTAGTCTAGGAATCATCTATCTTTACTACTGAGGCAATGCCCTTCTGAGTATTCAACCCAACCTCCTATGTATTACAAGCTTTTTCCATTATGGCTGTCAGGAAAGTGAACTATTCCCCGCCTTGTATAACCTTTGGGAATTGCTCTGCCTGCTCCTTTTTGGCGGTCCTTTCTCCAGACTTAGTTTCCTTATAACTATCTACTGACCAGGACTAATTACATTGTCAAGAGGAACAGTCTTCTACACTAAGTTGGCTGTGACCCATGGCAGCAGGAACTTGACTCCAGGGGAACTCCCTATAGATCTAGACCTCACTCTCTATGAAGCTTTCCCCTCTCTGGTAGTCTACACTAAGAATTCTAGCTCTGTTGGACTCTTTGAATCCTCAATTGTCTCCTCAACTTCAGAAAACCACAGCTGCCCTAGCTGGTTTGGCTCACTGGATAGAAAGTCAGCCTGAGGACTGATGGGTCCCAGGTTCAATTCCGGTCAAGGGCACATGCTGGGTTTGCAGGCTGATCCCCAGTAAGGGGAGTGCAGGAGGCAGCTGATCAATGGTTCTCTCTCATCATTGATGTTTCAATTTCTCTTTCACTCTCCCTTCCTCTCTGAAATCAATAATAAATGAATTAATTAATGAATGAAAACTGCAGGGTTTGCCAGCTCTTTAGTGTTGCTTGGAAATTCTCTCCAGCTGAAGCAACCACATGAATCACTGTCCTGCTCTGCAGGTTGCTCAACGTCTAAAAACCAGCTTCATGTACTTTGATTTTGTTTTTAGTTGTTTAAGGTGGAACGATATATCCAGTTCTTGTTACTCCATCATGGCCAGAACAGCCTTTGATTTCATTCTATCTGACTGTAATACTCACCACTCCTGGCTGCAATTGTCTACAGACCACCACATACCTGCCTCCAGGTCATTCACCTTCACTACTTGAAAATGAATTGGCTCATTATTCCTCTTAGGACACCACTTCTTCCATAAGTCTGGTGATTTCTTGTGCAGATCCTTTCAATATCCTGCCTTCTCAGTCTCCTGACTTCTTATTCCACAATCATGTTCTCTACCCCAGCTTAGTCCTACTCTCTGTTGGTTACACTCTGACCTTAAGTTTGCCATAATTGTATCCATGACACAATTGCAATTTCCCTCATGGATCAACTCCAGCCACACAGGACTCATTGCTCTTGGATACACCAAACTTGTTTGCTCTTGGATATGCTAGACCTTTGTATTTTCCCTAAACAGTCTCATCCAGAGCTGACAAATCAAGCTTCCTTTTAATCTCAGGTCTCTCCTCAAACACACGCATCAATAAGGCCTTCCCTGACACTCTATACCAGTGGTTCTCAACCTTGGCCGCACATTAGAATCACCTGGGAATCTTTTTAAAATCCTGATTTCTGGGCTTCATCCTCCAGAAATTCTGTTTCTTTGTTACTAGTGTTGTGCCCTCACCCCATAACAAAGAAACAGAATTTCTGGAGGATGAAGCCCAGAAATCAGGATTTTAAAAAGATTCCCAGGTGATTCTAATGTGCAGCCAAGGTTGAGAACCACTGCTCTATACAGAGTATTATCCAGTCACACCCCTTTCTCCCTTGCTTTGCTTTATTTTCCAAAGCACTATTTGCCATTTGACATAGTAAATACTTAATTTTACTGTTGCACTAGTGACCCAGTGCAGGAAATCGTGTGAGACCCAGGACCCCAGACCCTGCGGCACCACGGGATCCAGAGTCAAGTCCCCGCCCACCTGGTGATTAGCCTTTGGTTGTTACAGCGTTAGGGCCACTGGGTTTTTATAATATAGATCAGGGGTCCTCAAACTACAGGCCGCGGGCCACATGCAATTACAAATATTGTATTTGTTCCCGTTTTGTTTTTTTACTTCAAAATAAGATATGTGCAGTGTGCATAGGAATTTGTTCATAGCTTTTTTTAAAACTATAGTCCGGCCCTCCAATGGTCTGAGGGACAGTGAACCATCCCCCTGTTTAAAAAGTTTGAGGATCCCTGATATAGATGATGCCTGGGTCTTCTCACTAGAATGCAGACTCTGTGAGGGCTATCTCCCCAGTGCTTAGCACACATGTAGATGCTATCTATCTCTTCTTAAACCTTTCTTCATTTGGCTTCTAGGGCACACTAGCTTTTGGCTCTCCTATTATCTCACTAGCTAGTCCTTTTTTTTATCTCCTTGCTGGAAAATGAACAGGGGTGAAGGAGTACAAAACCAACCTCAGGAAGAGAAACAGTCTTCTACACTAAGCTGGCTGTGACCCATGGCAGCAGGAAGGCCAGATAACTCCTTCTACCTTCTAGGAAGAAAGATACTGTAGTACCCAACAATAGCACAAACTCACTTTCAATGTATGCAGATAGACTATCTGCAGCAGGACAACCAACATATAAACGTTTATTAGCCTTCTCCTACTAAAAAGGAAAACCACTACCTAAAAGAGAGAATTTTTAAATCTATTTTTTATTGCTTCAACCAACTGAAAACATAAAATTGAATTCACTACATATTCATGGGAACTCTGAAACAACTCTTAAAGTAACATGTTTTATGAAGCAAATAGGTAGTCCCTAATTTATCTGGCCAGAGATAGCAGGTAGAATTATAATCATAAGGGTAAAAATTAACATTTCTCCACCATAAAAACAAGGTTGGCTAAATTCAGTGAACAATATTGAAAATTGCTCCTGATAAAAAGAAACAACAAAAGAGCTTTCCCTCTAAATTTAGCCAACCTTGTAAGAAATGACTGAGGAATTGTCACAGATTGGAGGAGGTTAAGGAGAAGTAACAACTAAACACAATTTGGGACCCTCCCCTGAAACCCTGGAATGGGGGGAGGGGAAGACAGTGGAAAAACTAGTGAAACCTAAATAAAGTCTATAATTTAGTTTAAAAGCAAACAAAACAAACAAAAAGAAAAGAAGAGAATAGAAAAGAACACCTCCTCCTGGCTCTTGGGCTTCAGTGGCTGAGCATCGACCTATGAACCAGGAAGTCAGAGTTTGATTCCTGGTCAGGGCACATGCCAGGGTTGCAGGCTCAATCCCCAGCGTGGGGCATGCAGGAAGCAGCCGATCCATGATTATCTCTCATCACAGATGTTTCCATCTCTCTCTCCCTTTCCCTTCCTCTCTGAAATCAATAAAAAAATTTTTTTAAAAAGAAAAGAAAACCTCCATTCAGAACAAAAACCCTATCTCAGCACCTAGTGCACATCTTCTGCGTAAGTACCTGCTCTACCTGGAGGTTCCACGCCAACCAAGACACACCTTCCAGGGCTGGGCACCTTTCATTGTTAGAAGGTTCTTCCTTATGTGGCTTCTCCCTTAGTAACTTCACTCAGTTTAGTTCTTCCTTCTAGACCCACGCACATTAAGTCTAATTCCTCTTTCACTTGATCTCCACATATTTTATATTCTGCCTCAAGTTTCTTTTTGAAGCCTGACACACCCAGTTCCCTTCATGTTACACATTATGACTTTTACATCCTTGATTATCCTTGCCTCACAACTTCTAAGGTACTCCAGCTTGTCAACTGCCTTCTTAAAATTAATGTTCAGAACTGAACACTGGAGTAGAGCCTATCCAATTTTTTTCTCTTCTTGTTTTTGACACTATGCTCCTCTGCCTAAAATCGCCTGCCCTTTTCCAGCAGTTCTGTCACATCTGTCGTGAATCATTTGCTTGTACTTGTGTGGTAAAAATCAATGCCTTATCATTCAATCCTATGACCTTTCCTTCCTCCTCAAAGAATCATACTGGCAAGTGGTAAAGCGAGATATCTGACCAGAGTATTCTTCTGTGAAGAGAGAGACTCGATTATCTACAAGTTTCATCTGAGAATTAAAAATCTCAACTGACACAGCCACCTAGCCACATTCACACACTTTAAAGCTGCGGTGCACCAGTTCCCAGAAACCAGAGTCAGATCCGGAGTTTCCCAACAGCTCTTCCTGGGCTGGACTCATCTATTAGGCAAAGCCAGCTCACTACTTCCCTAGATCTGGGCATCACCTATTTTCTGACCTTTCACCCTCAACATCCCCAAGTTCCCATGAAGTCAAAGCATCAGTCATTTTTGTGAGGGGTAAAAAAACATACGCAGCACGTGCACAGGAATGCTCTGAGGTCCGCAATATGCAAAAACGCGAACGTTCGGAGAACGCTTTATCTCTGCTGTTGCATAATGAGCCTTGATTAAAAAACAACAACACAACAACACAATAATAATAGCTGCAAAGATGCCTTCCCGTAGCTGCTGCTTTGGGCCCAGAGGGTTCCTAGACAGGAAAGGGATGCCAGCGACACTCCCGTCACCTCTGACAACCTCCAAGACGAAACCGAGAAGGAGGCCCTCCCACCCCACG